GAAAATTCAAGACCAATCTGAGATACATAGTGTGTTCTAGGCCAGCCTAGGCTATAATGAGACCTTGTCTTTAAAAAAAGAGGCCGTATGTGGTGGCACACACCTTTAATCCCAGCACTCCACTTTTAATTTAATTTTTAAAAATTGAGACAGTGTCTCTTGTAGCCTAGGCTGGCCTTGAACTAGCTAAGTTGCTGAGGATGACTTTGAATGCCTGATCCTCCTCTCCTGATCACCCCAACCAGCTCTACTTGCAATCAAACAAGATTAGCAAATCCTTGATCCACAATTTAGTGTTATCTGAAAACCATTAGATATTCTGTGTTCTATAAATCTAGAGAAAAGTTACTGAATTTTTAGAAGTTTTAGAGCTTAAGTCTTTTTAGTTCCTTTCCTCAGGATTAGCTAACATTGCAATTTAAGAGACCAGGCAGGGAAAGAGAACTGAAAGCAACTTTTCCAGAGAACAGTCTTAACTCATTGGGGGATTTCAGTCAAAGCTGTCATCTACAGCAATGAGAGACTCAGCTATGTGCCTCCCAAATTGCAGCAGTGAGAATGGAATCCAGGGCCTTTGGTATGTTGGGCAAGTACTGCACCATTGTGCTACACTGACAATCGTTTTTAAAGTATTTCAGGGGCTGGAGAGATGGTTCAGTGATTAAGAGCACTGGCTACTCTTGCAGAGGACCACAGTTCAATTCCTAGCACCCACATGGTGGCTCCCAGCTGTCCTTAACTCCAGTTCCAGGGGATCTGATGCCCTCTTCTAGACTCCAAGGGCTCTGAACACACATGGTACACTTACATAGATGCAGGGAACACACTCATACACATAAAAAATTAAAATATTTAAAAGTGGAATAAAGTTTGAATTGCAAAGAAATAGTACATTTGTCTAAGAATTGTAAGGGCTGGAGATGTAGGTCAGTAGTAGAGGGCTTGGTCACGATATGCAAGGCCATATTTTTGCTTGATATTAGTTTGTGTAGCCGAGAGGTATATGCACATGTGCAGATGTGTGCAGAAGCATCATTCAAATGTGGAGGCCAGAGATTAATGTTGGAACAAGATGTCTTCCTCTTTTGTTCTCCACCTATTTATTTATTTACTCTGTTTTATTTTCTATTTTATTTATTTATTTATTTTTTAGATAGGGTCTCCCTATAGCCCCAGCTGACCTGGAACCCACTATGTAGACCTCACAGAGATCTCACAGAGATCCACCTGCCTCTGCCTCCCCTGCTGGAGTTAAAGGCCTGCACCACCATGCCCAGTCTTATTTTTTAAGTCAGGGTCTCTGATTGAAACTAGAGCTTACCAACTGTCTAGACCTAGCTGACCAGTGACCCCCAGATCCTCCCATTTTCACCTCCCCAGCACTAGAATTACAGGCTCACCTCCATGCCCAGCTTTTTACACAGGTTATGGGGATCTGAACTCAGGTCTTCATGTTTGTGTAGAAAGCACCTTACCAACCGAGTTTATTTTTGAGACAGGGTCTAGTGTAGCCCAGGCTGGACTTGAACTCCATGTGTACCTGAGGTTGACTTTGAATTCTGATCCTCCTGATTCTACCTCCTGAGTGTTGAGATTACAGGACTATGTCACCTCACCAGATTTATACAGTGAAGGAAATAGAACCCAGGGCTTCATTCATGATGGGCCAGTATTCTACTAATTGAACTATATCCCAAGACCTGTTTTATTACACTGATATATTTATTGTGTATCTCTGTGTGTGTGCATACCACAACAGGCAGTGTGGAAGTCAGAGGACAACTTGCAGGAGTCAGTTCTTTCCTCCCACCATGTGTGTCCTGGGAACTGAACTCAGGTAGTCAGGCTTGGTGGCAAATGCCTTAACCCTCTGGGCCATCTTAGTGACTCAGACAGGTTCTCACTAGATAATTCTGGCTGGCCTGAAACTCACTCTGGAGACGAGGCTGATGCGGCATTTGTGGTTATCCTTCTGTTGCTGCCTCTGGGCGATGGAATGACAAATGGCAACTACCATATTTGGCATATCAAGGACCTAGGTTTGATCCCTAGAAGTACGGGGATAAAAAGAGTAGGGACTCTTGTCCAGGAGTTTTAAGTCAATTGTTATCTCAAAGATATTCCAGAAGGAAAAAAGTAAACAGCACACCCTTCTTTCCAGCCTATAGCCTCTGTACCTTCTTTCTCTTCCTATAAAAGTGCTTTGGGGGCCGGGTGTGGTGGCGCATGCCTTTAATCCCAGCACTTGGGAGCTGAGGCAGGTGGATCTCTGTGAGTTCAAGGCCAGCTTGATCTACATAGTGAGTTCCAGGCCAGCTGGGGCTACAGGGAGACCCTGTCTCAAAAAGACAAAAAACAACAAAACAACAACAACAAAAAAAGGTGCTTTGGGG